CCATCAAACCTGAATGAACTAGAGATGTTTTGTAAAGAAGAGTGGTCTAAAATACCTTCAGCCACAATCCAGTTTTGTCAAACTTCTTTTTGACCCTATAATTTATTTTAATACGCCAGTTATATATTTATACATTTATTTCCAATAATGATAGGTTTGGTCCTCCATACTGAGCCACCGTGCCGCCCTGTTCACAATTCAATTCAATTCAATTCAATTTAGTTTATTTATATAGCGCCAAGTTACAACATACGTTGTCTCAGGGCATGGGCGGGGAAGTCTGGGGGAATGTGGACCTCAGTACCCCGGGCCCAAGAAGGGCGAGGGGCCCGTGGAAGTCCTGATTTTTTTTTTTTTGCCAAATGAAATGGGCCCTTCAATTAATTGGTGTAATAATTTATTTTAAATATATTGATAACATAAACTGAGAGAATGAACTTTATTTTACTGTCCACACAACAAACATATTGGACATTCTGGGGGCCCCCTGTTGGAGGTGCAAAATGGTTTAATCCGCCTGACGGGCAGACCCAGACAGACTATTGGGGGAACTGGGAAGTTTCTCGTGGTCTGCCTGCTGACTGGCTGGTCTGCTCAGCTGGTTAAAAGTTTTGGTCGCTCTACAACTTTTAAATAAACAACTTGGTGTGGTCAATGCGCCTCGTTAGAGCTGCTTCATGTCCCGGAGTCCAATACTGAGTCCAAGTCCACTCTGATATTTCGGCTTCTGATTATAATTTACATTCATAAGTCACCAAATATTTCTGTTATTTCGTCTACCTGCTTCAATGCACCTGTAAAATACAATTAATTTCCCTCTGGGATCAATAAAGCATTTTTGAATTTAATTGAATATAGAAAGCTTATAAATATTATAGTAGTACATTTTTATTATCTTTGGAAGAATAAATTCATCACATTAAAAAAGTTTAAGTTTCTTAGAGTTTCTGTATTTTCTGCATAAAAATAGTGAAATGATGCAAAGAACAAATTGTGATCAGGTTATTTCATGATATTTTCTGGAGTTTTTTAAGCTGACTGACTTCAGGTGGCAGTAAAAATAATACTTTATCTCTAGGAGCTGGAGACAGAGAGTCAGGGGCAGCAGGTGGGACAGAGGGTCTCAGTTAGGACAGAGTGTCTCAGGTAGGACAGAGGGTCTCAGTTAGGACAGAGGGTCTCAGTTAGGACAGAGTGTCTCAGGAAATAGATGAAGGTGATGGGCAGGTGTGAAGGAAATATAAAATGTTATTATGAGTACATTCTAGTCAGTTGTGTGAACTTAATGTAATAAATTACTGATCTAAATACATAAACTACAGCATGATTAACAGTTTTATTTTATTTTGACTAGTATAAAAGTGTTAGGCTTATTACTTTCATTTCTAGGAAGTTGCAGAAATTAGTTTTCATAGTTCAGATTATCCTGGTTAAATAAAGCTCAGTAAATAAATCTGTCAGTCCATCCATCATTAGTTTTCTAATCAGTTCCAAACATCCATGTATCATTGTTCCTAATTTACATGCAGGTTGATGAAACTGACACAAGTTATTGTCAGATTTAGACATAGAATGACCCAGGGCACAGGCAGAGTTCAGGTGTAACAAAAATATGGTCTTTATTAAATCAAAAAGCTGAGGAGGCAGCTGAAAAACTCACAAGGACGTGGCGTAAAAACTACATGAAACATGAAAAACGAGACAAGCTTTGCAGCACAATGATCGGACACTGACTCAAGACAGAGCTTAAATACACAGGAAAACTAATGAGGCAACAGAAAAACACCTGAGGAAACGAAAGCAACACTAATCACAGAACTGAACACACCTGAGACAAAAAGGAATTTAACAAAAAACCCACATGAACAAAACCCCAAAACAGGACCTAAAAAAACCTGTGAACCTGATTGGAGTCAGAAGACTGAAAATAAAGTTTTAAGAAGAAGAAATCCAGCTGATTCCTGTTTATTTTGACATACCATTTTGAACAACGTATATTTTTCCTACAATTTGGTTGAACAATACGGAGAATGTACCAATACATGGAAAAAGAATAATAAAAAGATCATACAAAACCAGAGCTGCTCTGTCTGAAGGCCCGTTTATTGACAAAGCATTCAGACAGAGCAGCTCTGGTTTTGTATGATCTCTTCATTATTCATTTTCCATGCATTGGTACATTCTCCGTCTAGTTCAAGCACACAAACTGGTGAACGAACACGCTTAACAATATGTTTCTTTAACTGCAATGGGCTAAGGAAAGGCAATCATGGACTGTGGATGACTGGATGAAAGTTATCTTCAGTGATGAGTCAAGAATCTGAATTGGACAAGGTAATGATGCTGGAACTTTTGTTTGGTGCCGTTCCAGTGAGATTTATGAAGAGGACTGCCTGAAGAAAACAACCAAATTTCCACAGTCCTTGATGATGTGGGGCTGCTTCATTCTTCTATCAATGCACAAATTTACATTGACATTTTGGGCAGTTTTCTCATCCCTTCAATTGAACAGATGTTTGGAGGTGATGAAATAATTTTCCAAGATGACAATGCATCGTGCCATAGGGCAAAAACAGTGAAGGCATTCCTTGGAGAGAGACACATTCAATCGATGTCGTGACCTCCAAATAGTCCAGATCTCAACCCAACTGAAAACCTGTGGTGAAAATTGAAAAAAGAAAATGGTCCACAAGAAGGCTCCGACTTGCAAAGCTGATCTGGCAACTACTATCAAAGAGAGTTGGCACCAAATTGATGAAGAATACTGTTTGTCACTCATCAAGTCCATGCCTCAGCGACTGCAAGCCATTATAAAAGCCAAAGGTGGTGCAACTAAATACTAGTGATGTATTTTGAATGGTCTTTTATCTGTTTTTCATGATTCCATACTTTTTTCCTCAGAATTGAGTGATTCCATATTTTTTCCCCCTGTGCTTGGTCAATAAAAGTAACATTCACTGACTTCCACAATGTTTTCCCTTCATTTCTCTGAGTGTTCCTGAAAGCCAACAAGTTGCACTTTGGAATGACCTTATTATTGTATCATGTTTTTGATCTGAGTTTGTTTTACAGAATGAAATGTCTGAATGAGTGCTCATCCAAGACTGGTGATTCCATACATTTTGCCAGGGGTTGTACAAGACATAAAACTTACAATTGTGGTCAGTGTCTGAGCTTTGCTTCAAACTGCTAGACCACAGTTATCATCTATATGGTTTTCAATAAAAACATTTTGAATTTAGATTTTAAATCCCATCTTCAGCAGCGATAGACTTCATCATCCTGCATCAAAGGCAAGCTAATGCTGCTGCTGAAGATGATTTCAATACTCAGAAAGCGATCTAAAAATTGAAAACATTTTAATTTACACTTGGCGCCCCATACTCCCAAGTATAAAAGATGACTGGTAAATTTGACCAAAAGTAGTAAGAAGTCCACCATTTTTTTCCAACATTAAAGTATACATATTTAATTTTAGAAGTTTCTTTGCAACGCCTAATACTACTTTTTAAATTATACAGTACATTTTTAATTTTAGAAGTTTCTTTGCAACTCCTAATACTACTTTTTAAAATTTGTTATTATTATTATTTGGTAATTTTCATTTAAAATGGTAAAATACTGCCTGCAAATGTGTTACCAATGAAGGCATCTCCTAAAACATTTGTTTTTATTCCGCTTGCATGTCAAAAACAAAAGGTCAGAGACATAAAAAAGTAAATGATCTGTATCCTGTGTGTGCTCTAAACACGTCTACAGACTTTGTTTATGTTAGAGGTGGGTTATCACAATAAACACTAAGGCCATAGAAATGAGCAGCAGCACGTTTTGGACTACAGTACTCACTGTTCTTGGTGTGTGTGTGGTAGAGTGTGTCCTGGCTGTGTGTGTGGCGGCGGTGATGGTGGCGGGGCTTGCCAGAATAAGAGTTTTCGTTCTCTGATGAGCTGAACTGATGGTCCGAAGCAGGACTGCTCAGAGGGAAGCTGGGGATGAAACATGCAATCAAAACAACCCCTCAGCAAAAGATCTTTTAATTATTAATTGTAAAAATAAACAACTATATTCATTTATCATACATCCATCCATTTTCTTTACCTACTCCTCCTTTCCAGGTTGTGGGGAGCTGGTGCCTATCTCCAGCTGTTAAGAGAGGCAGGTGACCTTGGACAGGTCACAAGTCCATCACAGAGAGACAATAACCATTCACACTCTTACCAAAGGACATTTAGAGCAAGGCCATTCAAGTAAATTACTCAGGGAGCCACAGCTAGTTAAAACCAACATTTCAGGGACCAGATGGAGTGTTGCTCGATAATGGTAGGGTAGTTGTGGGCACAGTTCAGCTAATCCACTAATCATAGAAATAGCTCATTTAGCGTATTAACTTTTTTGCTAACTGGAAACCGTTAGCAGACTGATTAGCTTCCACTAAATTAGGTTTTGCTAACTTTTGAGTCCACTAAAAATTCACAAGTGTAAACTATCCCAATTTAAATAAAAAAAAATTATCCTTTCATAAGCAGTGCTGGTTGTGTCAGGCACTGTGTAGCATCTTTAGCAGCTAAATGTCAAAAGAAGTGTATCAAAAAGAAATAAAATAACATTTAACAATATTTTAAATAAATATGAAAACTGGTTATAAAATATGGTAGAAAACATCTGCTATTTATTGTTTTGACTAACTTTATATACTGTAAATACAAACTTAATCAAAGCTTCTATTCTGAATGGAGCTATAACTTTGCTTTGGATTGGCTAATTTGCCACAGATGACTCCACCCACCTTCAAATGAAACCAATAGAAAACTAATAAAAACAGGTGTGTGTCAGTCCCGGCTGAGTGACAGTCATTTTGTTAGCATTAGCTTCAACAAACTTTCACATTTTTAAAAATGGTTTAGTGTTTGCTAAGATTTTTGTTTAGTGGATTAATGGTTAGTGAGCCCTGCTTTTTGATTAGCTATGATGTACAAAAACAAACAAACAAATATTATTATCCTTTATCTTTTAAATTTATTTTGCTGCATTGAATCATAAATTAAGGATTTAAAATTGATTTAATTTAATTTAAACTTTATATTAAATGAAGTACAAAATATTTTTTTAAATGAACTCACTAGCAGACCAAACTGAAGTCACCTACTGGCCGGATGTGGCCCACATACTGCCAGTTGAATAGCGATGATAAATGGCCTAACATGCTTGTTTTTGGCTTGTGAGAGGAAATCAATGTACCTGAAAAAAAAAATTTTTAAATACCACACATCCAAGGTGAACATACGACCTTCTTGCTATGAGGTGACAGCGCTAACATAAAAAATATTTATTGTAATAAAAAATATATAAAAATCCACAATTTATTTGATAAATAAGACAGTATTATTGCAAAATATTTCATTAAAGGTTGAACTAATTATTACAGTCATAACAGTGGGCTTTTATAAAAAAAAATTTTGGTAATTCAATAAAAATTGTATAAATTATCCCACAATATGCATTAGTAAATAAAACATTTTTGCAGTTTTTTTCTGTCATAGTTTTTTTATTTTCGAAGAAGCAGCATGGCATCATTTCTAAAGACAAAATGTGATTCAAGTAAACAAGTTCAAAAGGCAAAAACTATAACAGCACGTTTTTCCTGTAAACATTTTCTCGATTTAACAAAAATCCACAACTTGATGTAACATTAATATAATGTTTATTCAAAAGAAGAAAAACTCCCTCTGAAAGCACACCAACAACTCTTGTTTCACTTCTCTAATTTGCACTGAGCTACACGGCATAAATAAAGCAGCTTTTAATCCCGAAAACAGCACATTTTATATCTCACACCTGATGAGAACGACCTTTATTCAACACTTTAATTAAGGGATTACGAACAAATAGATTGTCAGAATATTCATGAGGAAATAATATTAAGACTGTCACAATAAAAGCAGATTTGAGTTTTTACCTTGATTACATAAAAACACACACAAAGCAAGGCACAAACCCATCAAATCTAGCTTTAATTTAAGATCAGGTCAAATAATTTACTGATATACATTGTTTTTTTTTTTTTTGAAAATTTGTATATCATATATGTACAGTGTGGTGTATCTTTATAGTGACTAATAGATTAAAGTGTGATTCTGCCTAAATATTCTTGTTGATTCTCAATTATCTCTGATACATTCATAGATGTATTTTATCCTGGAACCACTAAATTAAGGAGTTACCAGATAAAAATACTGTATATATTTTTATTTGTCAAACTTTCATCATTAAAAGTTAATAAAGTGGCAAATTCTGCTGTAGCTTTTAGTACATTCACTCATGTTTATTTGTGCTAAAAATATTTCCCTTTAGTTAAACTGAATTCATGCCTTCCATGACCTTTTACTGAGATTTGACCCCTCAGGAGGAGTAAAATGCAGCTACCCTGAGCCTCCATGAGCTGTGTAACTGTTATCAAAGTTGATAAAAAGAAAGAAATTTGTTGGCTCAAACTAAATTTTGTTTCGTTTTTAGAGCAAATAAATGGGTCCCTTCATTCTTCAACAACATCTTTTGTCCAGATTTGTCCCCTAAATGAACCTCAAACATTAAAAACAAAACAAAGCTATCATCCTTATGATAAAATCGTTTGCATTTTGGACACATACGTTGATACATTGAATGGGCGAACACAGAACTGATGGTGATGTTGGTGATGTTGATGATGTTGATGATGTTGATGATAGGAGTGCAGGCAAGTTCTTTCTTTGGGGTAAAGGTTTGTGTTGGAGTTCTGAAACCAATTCCCAAGTTAGAGAGAGAGGAGTGGGCGGGTCAAAGTGCAGTCATGACCTTATCCCTGAACACCAAACTGACGGATCCTTTGCGGGTGCCGCCGGACCGCTCAGGGACGACAGGAAGAGTGGACAGAGGACTCGACGCCACGTGAGAAGAAGGTCTGAGGTGCAACGTGCAGTCATGGAGGCAGACGAAGACACAAGTGAGGTGAGCATGAGTGACGTGAAGCACAACGACACAGGAAACAGACAAGATGAAGCGTTTGTTTGTGTATGCACCTGTGGTCGGGTGGTCTTACCTGTGAGGTGGCGTGTGACTGGAGGGCTGCAGGTACAGCGGGGTTGTGAGAGCGGGGTTGTGAGATGGATGCCACAGCTCATGACCAATAGGTATGTTGTGTTGGTACTAAAGCGGAAGAAAAGCAGAATTAATTGCTGATAGAAGCCATACTGGATGCTGCCTTTACTGCCCTGTGTGTGTTTGTGTGTCTGTGTGTCTGTGTGCACTCACCGCATGCAGGCTGGGATTGGGACTGGCATGAGAGCTGCAAAACAACAACAACGATCAATAACAACAAACTGGCGAACAATATTTGAATATTTAAAAAAGTGATTTTTGTGTTTCATGTGATTAGTTAGGATTAGGACTAAAGTTGTGGATAAAACACACAAATGTGTAATAAAGGTAGTATATTTCTGGGCTGTGACTAGTTGGTGAACAGCAGGGTTGCCAGGTAGAAAATGATAAAATATTGTGCAGTGGCTATAATATGATGTAATTTTGACCTATGTATTGTTTTGCGCTGATAGAGGGTACACTTCCTCGCTTAGCTGGGGAGTAAGACGTCAACCAATAGTTGAGGGAGGAGAGAGGGGAGTAAGATGAGGTGTGATTGGCTAACATGCGCACACGACGTGGGAGGGTTATGCACCTGGCGAGATCTTCAGATGTGGGTGTTCACATGGATAAAAATTGAGCTTATTTTCTGTGCATGAGAATGACAACTATCAAAACTACAGACAGTTTCATAAATATTGGGACATTAACACAATTCTCATCTTTTTGGCTGTAAACAGAACCACGATGGATTTGAAGCAGGATGAAATGTGAATTTTTTGTGACGATATCTGCTCATATTCAGCCAAATGCTTCAGAGCACAAGCAGATGAACAACGATCCAAAGAATGTTTCAAAAGCAACTAAAGAGTTTTGAAAGGCGCCCCAAGAACAAGCAGGAAGTAAAGACAGTTGCAGTAGAGGCCTGTCAGTCTGGTGACGTCTATGTGTTCCAGACTTCAGGCTGTAACTGACTGCAAAGGATTTGTAACCAAAAATAAAAAGTGAAAGTTTGATTTATGAATGTTAATTTGTCTTAATACTTTTGGTCACTTAAAAGGAACCCCGACTAGGTGTGACATTACACATTTTTTTAATAAACATTTACTTAAACTATAAAAACAAGACTGACAAAAACTGGAGGCTTAGTTTTTATAATTTTTTTAAATAATTGTCACACAGACAGCACCATATTAATTACATTGCAAAGCATACTAGGTAAATATTGATGCTTAGCGGTGCTCCGGTGTGATCTCTATCCAGCGTGAACATTAAATTTGGACAATGTCTAATGTTGAACCCTTTTAAATAAAGCCAGAGCACATTGACAGAGAGAATATCTCGGACTGAAACTGAAAATGATGGACAACAGAGCTACTTCATGGAAGACTCAACTAATCTATAGCCTTTTAGCTTTTGTGTTAGTTCACGAGCTAATACACACATATACTATGGCAATATATGACGTCAGCTCTTGACCTAATACACACACACACACACACACACACACACACACAC